GAGTGGTGCATGTACGTGTGTGGGCAGGGGAGCGTGTGCGCGTGTTATTGGAACAGTAGTGGAGTGGTGCATGTACGTGTGTGGGCAGGGGAGCGTGTGCGCGTGTTATTGGAACAGTAGTGGAGTGGTGCATGTACGTGTGTGGGCAGGGGAGCGTGTGCGCGTGTTATTGGAACAGTAGTGGAGTGGTGCATGTACGTGTGTGGGCAGGGGAGCGTGTGCGCGTGTTATTGGAACAGTAGTGGAGTGGTGCATGTACGTGTGTGGGCAGGGGAGCGTGTGCGCGTGTTATTGGAACAGTAGTGGAGTGGTGCATGTACGTGTGTGGGCAGGGGAGCGTGTGCGCGTGTTATTGGAACAGTAGTGGAGTGGTGCATGTACGTGTGTGGGCAGGGGAGCGTGTGCGCGTGTTATTGGAACAGTAGTGGAGTGGTGCATGTACGTGTGTGGGCAGGGGAGCGTGTGCGCGTGTTATTGGAACAGTAGTGGAGTGGTGCATGTACGTGTGTGGGCAGGGGAGCGTGTGCGCGTGTTATTGGAACAGTAGTGGAGTGGTGCATGTGCGTGGGTGGGTGGGCACAAGCTGCAAGGTGTGTGTGGGTGCGTGGGTGTGTCGGAGGAAAGTTGTAAGGTGCAATGAAGAGTAGGGACTGTCTTGTGTCACTGGAGTAGCCATCTAGTTGCATCAGTCTCAATATGTGTGCAACGAAAAGCTGTGGTGTGCATGTTTGTGGGATTCCATTACTAACATTTTTGGTCTAATGGGTTTTTTCTTCTTCTTCTTTAAGCATGCACTTCTATCCATGCCCTTTCGTGGTTCTATTTGTGATGGGTTTCCAAAGCGACATCGCACCCTACCCTACCCTCACAGTGGAAGCGTTTTGTGTATACCTCCTCCATACAAGATCAGAAATCATGCATGTGAAAAAACATTTTGTGCATACAATCTTCTGTCTGCTGCAGATGCTCACTGGTTCACACGCCAGCAAGTTACAGCCGCACTTTCCCCTGAGAGATACACGACGGAATGCACTGCAGCGAGTCGCAAGGTGTATCTTAAACTACGGTAGTTCCACAAGCACACGAGGACTCGCTGCCTCCAGAGCATAAGCCCAACAACCATGTGTATGTCCCAGGGCCCTACGCCATAGCCCACCATTTGATAGCTACTTGGTCACGTGACAAAAGCATTGTGGATGGAGGACACAGTTGCTTATGATGTAACGAGAGCAATGATCATTAGGATGTCACCAACTTCAGTGTCTGTTTGCGCGAGTGCCAAAATGCACAGCTTGTTGTATGGGGAAATGGTCATGTGCATGTTTTCATATCAAACCAGTAGCCAGTGTATTTTCAACACAGGTACTTTCAGGTGACGGTGACTACATCGTAAATGGCATGAGTTGGTAGCAGGCTTCTGTTGGAAATAAGAAGTCGCTAGAGCGCAGCGGAAGCTCTAGGAATTATCGACGTCCCTACGGCGGGGCTATTGGTCACTCAGAGGTAGCTCTCCTGGCTTGTAACATGGTGCCAAAGCAGTGGCCGAGGGTAGGCCGGACACAAGCTTGAGAATTGTGTAATATGAGCAAGGCATTACATTCTGTTATATAGCAAACGCATAGGGCAAACAGTTACCAAGGCGCAACTGTATAACAGTTGCGCTGCGTCGCTTGGGTTGCCTTGTTACAGTCGCACTGGCGAGACTTTTCAGCTTCGGCAAGGGCGCGGTATCCTGCCGCGCCCCACAGGTCAGTTTCGCGTACTGTAGACGATGACTCCTGCTGTCGATTCGACTCTTGAGCTGCCACGCGGGTCGCAACCGCTGTGCTCGGTTGCGGCCCGTTGACTCGCCATCAGGTTCAAATCCCTCGCTATGGCGAGCCCTTGTAAGCACACTTCGAACAGTGCACTTATAATAAAAGCATACAAACATATTCTCAACACTCCCCTCCACTGTTAGAAGTGTAGAAACGAGGAGAGCTGCAATCTTGCTGGGTTGAAGTTGTGAAGTCCTTGCCAGGGACTTTGCTGTAACTCCTTGAAATTCGTCTTGCTGAGTCGCCCAAAATGATGCGACGGTGCGTTGAAGATTTCCTCCACGTAGTGCTCCGTGGGAAGTGGCAGGTCGAACCTGCTCCAGAAGATGCTCCTGGTGATGATTCAGGTGGTGGGCCCATTTGTAGAAATTATCACAGGTTCCAAGGATTGGAACTCTTGCTCGTGATACCATGTTGGAAATAAGAAGTCGCTAGAGCGCAGCGGAAGATCTAGGAATTATCGACGTCCCTACGGCGGGGCTATTGGTCACTCAGGGGTAGCTCTCCTGGCTTGTAACATGGTGCCAAAGCAGCGGCCGAGGGTAGGCCGGACACAAGCTTGAGAATTGTGTAATATGAGCAAGGCATTACATTCTGTTATATAGCAAACGCATAGGGCAAACAGTTACCAAGGCGCAACTGTATAACAGTTGCGCTGCGTCGCTTGGGTTGCCTTGTTACGGTCGCACTGGCGAGACTTTTCAGCTTCGGCAAGGGCGCGGTATGCTGCCGCTCCCCACAGGTCGGTTTCGCGTACTGTAGACGATGACTCCTGCTGTCGATTCGACTCTTGAGCTGCCACGCGGGTCGCAACCGCTGTGCTCGGTTGCGGCCCGTTGACTCGCCACCAGGTTCAAATCCCTCGCTATGGCGAGCCCTTGTAAGCACACTTCGAACAGTGCACTTATAATAAAAGCATACAAACATATTCTCAACAGCTTCAACTACAGAAAAGGAACCTGTGGCAGGCACCATCGTTAACTGCAGGTCTGAGAATGGACAATCTTCTCTCAATCTCATGTCTTATGCCAACATCAGCTCTATGAAGCATCAATGTGCTCATATGCTGCAGAACGGGTGAATGACCATACAAATGCATAAGGGGCAAGTGGAATTTAATTACTACAATAAATAATGGAAATGTGTCTATTGACAATGGTTCGCTGAAGGTTTTGTGGACCCAACTCGATATCAAGACTTTTCCTAGTCAGCTAGTTCTCTCGCGTGGAGTACCACCTCACTATGCGGCAGCTTCGCGTACTTGCGGTGCGGATCAGCAGGATATGCGTGTGCTTTGGTACTATGATTATGCCACGTGCAAAGCTCACGACTTGTTGGTCAGTGGTGAAAATTCCACGTCGGACGCGAACGTCCTCGTTTGCTCGACAGAGTCGAGGAGACAATGTCCACGGAGGAGCCACGTCCGACGTACTGAAACTCGGATCTCCACAGATGACACATTTGCTTTTTGGTCCATGTCATCCGAATACTACGCCTGTGCGCGAACATCAAAAGCTTGTGGCCAGGGGTGCATCCCCCAGATCCAGCACTGCCCCGAAAAGTTGCTGCCACGGCAGCACAGTGAGGCGACGAGCTGGCACGCCATTTGCAATCGGGGATGTGCTGCTTCCAGCGCACATTCCGGTGCAATGTGGTCCCCCTCTATTCGCATTCCGTGTCCCGCTGCCTGCGCGCTTCGTTCCAGCACAGGGACGGGCTGGCAGCGGGTGGCGGAAGCATCACCAAAATCACTTCCCCCAGCCCCGCCATCCCTCCTAACCAGGCGCGCTGGCACTGGAGGAAGAGTTCGGTTCGGACCCGCCTTGTTGGCTCCCGTCCCGTTGCGCGGCGCTTTCGTGGCAGTGGCAGCAATGCCACGCTTGATTGGCTAGCTTCTTTCCCCGCAAACCTGAATGTTTCACAAACGGAATCGCGCATCGCCGAAGGGTGTGTGGTGCGAAAGAGTATTTGAGACGACTCGACATTCATAACTCTCGCAACCAAAATTCTCTCGCAGTTTTTCAGCAGCTTTTCCCACTACTAAAGTTACCCTGCCTAGCCGCTATACAAGCTCTTCTGATCCTCACTACACCTTCGACCTAAGAACCTGCGTCTTTTCACCTTCCGATTGAGAATTTGCTGCTGCTCTACTCGTATTCCGAGGCATCATGATCGCATACGCCTGGAGCCTGGCTACCGCCACCGTCGGCATTCTCGGTGGAGTCTCCACGGTCGTGTTCGGCGGGAGCTACATGGCGCACACCAGGATCGTGCAGGCGGTGAGTGAATCGCACTCCCGACTCTTTTCTATATTGCGATGATGTGGCGGTGGTGGTTGTTTCCCTTGGGTGGACTAGGAGGTTGCGTGGATTAGAGCCGTACCCATTGGAGATCGTGCTTTTAATCGTGCTTTTACCTTTCGCTCTTGATTCGCCTATCACAAACTAATCCACGTTGCGGTTCCCCCCTGCACTTGTGTTTTTTTTTTTTTTTTTTCCCTGCAGAAACAATTAGCGAAGAGAAGAATGAGCGAAAGCACTGCGCCTCCAGCTCCCAAGGTGGAAACAAGCTGAAGATGGCTCTCGCGGTCTTGGGCTCGCGAGTTGCGACGATAAACAGCAGTCATATCAGCCGTTGATATACCTCAATTAGCCCTCTCACACGGTGGCCCAGTAGTGTACATTCTTCTGCGAAGTAAGCAGCGCGCCCGCAAGCAACTTAGGTTGTAAAGTGTGAAGTACTAGTAAATGATTGTATTTTCTCTCTGAATCGTTTCCTGATAAGACACCGTTGAGATGAGAGAAGTAACCTGGCTTATGATTTCGCTTGGCTTGAGCCAAAGGAGAGTCCAGGAGAACTTATTTTTTCAAGTAAGGGCTTCAGATATTGTTGAAACGTTGTAGCATACGGAGAGAATAAGGGTCCATTTCTGTCTTGACATTTGTGTCACAAAGCGAGGTACCGCTCTGTACCGAATGGAACCGCTTTGTTAAAACATTTCTAACGGGAACCTCCGCTTTGTCACGAAGTGTCAAGTGCAGTACCTCCGCTTTGTGACATAAGTGTCAAGACAGGAATGACCATAAATCCTGACATTGTTCATGATGTAACAAACCCCTTACACTGGAGCAACACGTGAATGTAAGAATCTAGCATGTTCCACATTTATGGAGTCAAGCTGAATCACATGAACCTGGTGTGCTTCACATACTCAAACTGCCCCTGTGCATCATACGCTATCACCACCTGCTGCACCTTCCACTCTCCTTCTGCCATGTACCCTGTATCCTCAAGCCCATCCCTCAGGTCCTCCTCTCCTTCACCTACACCCAATTCCTCCCCTCCTCGCTCCTCACGAATTCCATCACCACCACCACCCTGCACCCCTTCCCCTCCCCCCCTCACATACGTCACAACCAGCCAAAACTCCTCCCCTTCTCCTCCCCCCTCGCGGCTGAGCATTGGCTCTAAGGGGGACGGCATAGCCACCACCACGCCCCTAGGCAGTGCCCAAACACCATACTTGTTTTGCTGGGCCTCGGGTATCCCTGCCAAGTACCCTGAAAATACCTCCATGTTCTGGGTTTCCAGCCTCTTGTTGGGGTGCTCAGGAAGAGGTGTAGCATAGAGGTCAGCATAGATGTAGTGGGGAACTCCATAGAGAGGCTTGGGAGGGAGAGAGGGGAGGGAGGCAGGCAGGTGGGTCGGCAGAGGAGTCTTCCAGTGAGGGCTGGCCCACGTGTCATGCAGGGATTGGCTGGAAGGGCTTGTGGTTCCGTCAGTAGCTTGGTAGCTGGCGGCACTGCCACTAGTGTGGGACTTGTTGTGCATGTCTGTTGGTAGGACAGTGTCGTCTTGCCTCAGCGACAAGGAAGCTTCCGAAAAGGCCACGTTGAGCTGTGCGCTGGGGCCTGTGAGGCAGAGGCAATGGAGGCAGAGGAGAGGAGATGGGTGAGAGAGGAGGGAGAGGGAAGCAGGCGAGTTACTCAATCAAACGTGGGTGGTGAGAGCGAGATCAAAGCGGGGTGAGATGATTGGAGCACGTGGTGGACAAGACTAGCTGCTTGCATGCAGATCTATGGCTTACTGCGGCGCACTGTGCGCACAGTGCCAAGGTTGCAGAATCACATCTCACGCAATTATTCACACTCGCCGTGCGTCCGTCTCACTTCCCAAACAGCAGCATTGTGCGTACCGTCCATGAAGCACACGTTGGCTGTGAGTAGCACTGCACGCCGCACCGACCCCCCTCCCATGTTGCCCTGCCCACGCCCCTTGTCATCACGCTCACCCTCCTCGCCCTCCCCCTTCCCCTCCCCCACACCCTTTCCCCTGCCCTCCCCCTTGCCCTCACCCCTGCCCTCCTGCCTGCCTCCCCCCACCTGGAGCTGCGCCATCACCACAGCCCCGCCCCCATTCACCTCGTCCCCCTCCCCCGCCTCCCCTCCTTCCCGCTCCTCGTCCCCCCCAGCACAGAGCACGCGTGCGCCATGGCTGTAGATGCCATAGGGCAGTGCGATGCCGTTGGCATGGCTGGCGCGCGCACAGGAGAAGGGCCACGCGCCCTCCGCCACCTTGGCTGGGAAATCGCCTTTCCTCTTGAACTGCTCGTGCTGTGCGGAGGGATCATGGGGGAGGAGAAAGTGAATTGGTGTGGCTGTAGATGCCATAGGGCAGCGCGATGCCGCTGGCATGGCTGGCGCGCGCATATTAAAAGGGCCACGCGCCCTCTGCCACCTTGGCTGGGAAGTCCCCCCGCCGGTTGAACTGCTCGTGCTGTGCGGGGAAGGAGCGGAGGAGAGAGTGAGAGTGAAGGAGAGGGGGTGGAGAGAGAGGGGTGAGGGGAAGGAGATGGGTGGATAGCCATGCGTGGAGAGAGAGGGGTGAGGGGAAGGAGATGGGTAGTCGCCCAGCTGCTTCACAGGAGGACAACCATGCGCCTTCTGCCACCTTGGCTCACAAGTCCTCTTTCCAGTTGAAGTGCTCGCACAATGCGGGGAAGGAGGGGAAGAGAGAGAAGGGAAGTGAAGTGACGGAGAGGTGGTGGAGAGCAAGGGAAGTCGCCAGGGTGCTTCACAGGAGAAGGGCCACACACCCCTCCACTACCTAGGCTGGGAAGTCGCTCTCGCTTGAACTGCTCCTGCTGTGAAGGGAATTCAGGGAATGGGGGAGGAGGGAGGGGAGGAGGGGTAAAGGGGTGTGGGAGGAGAGGAGGAGAGGGTGGACTCGCGTGCAGCAAGCGTGGCCCTCCCTTCTCCCTGTAGACTGGTGTGGGGCCCACAGGAGAAGGGCCACGCGCCCTCCGCCACGTTGCTTGGTAAGTCCCGCCACCGCTTGAACTGCTCGTGCTGTGCGGGAGGAGACAGAGAGAGGGTAAGCTGGAAGGAGCGGGGGTGGAGAGCATGGGAAGTGTTCCAGAGGTGAGGAGGTGGAGGGCAAGCACGGACCCAACAGGCGAAGGGCATCATTTTTGAGAATTCTCAAAAGTGAGGAGGTGGAGGGCAGGCACGGGCAAGCACGGGCAAGCACGGGCAAGCACGGACCCAACAGGCGAAGGGCCACGCTCCTCCCATCACCTTGATAGAGAGCCGGCCGCTGATGGCTTGCGCGCATGCCCCTTTTGGGAGAGTTGTGCTGTCGTGGGAGCGTGGAGGGGAGGGTGGCGGAGAGTGGGTGAAGAGAGGTGTATGGGTCCAAACCAGGGCTTCTCTTTCGGTCCGTTCAGGCTTCACACCACTGCTTTTGCAGGCGACGTGGAGGCTTGTCACGGACAACCGCAAGGCCAGGGGCAGTCAGGGGCAGGAGCAGGGGCAGGGGCAGGGGCAGGGGCAGGGGCAGGGGCAGGGGCAGGGGCAGGGGCAGGGGCAGGGGCAGGGGCAGGGGCAGGGGCAGGGGCAGGGGCAGGGGCAGGGGCAGGGGCAGGGGCAGGGGCAGGGGCAGGGGCAGGGACAGAGGCAGGGGCAGGGGCAGGGGCAGGGGCAGGGACAGAGGCAGGGGCAGGGACAGAGGCAGGGGCAGGGACAGAGGCAGGGACAAGGGCCGGGACAGGGGTAGGGACAGGGGTAGGGACAGGGGTAGGGACAGGGGTAGGGACAGGGGTAGGGACAGGGGTAGGGACAGGGGTAGGGGCAGAGACAGGGACAGGGGCAGGGGCAAGGGGAGGAAACAGGGGCAGGGGCAGAGGCAGGGCAGGGACAACAGTAACGACAGGTGCAGGAACACGGGCAAGGCCAAGGAGAAGGGCGAGGGCGGAGGGTAGGAGCATGGCTCGGGCAAGGACATGAGCATCTTACCCGCAGCACGTACTCCTCTGCACCGCTCTCCACCTCCACGGGTGTGATTTCGCGCAGCAGCTCCAGCGACAGCTTCGCCTCTCGCCCCTGCGCTGGTAACCAGAATCGCCAGTGCCCGTACCGCGTCGCCAGCTGCGGCCGGTAGCGCCGCCAGTGCTCCTCGGGGGTCAGCACCCGCCCTCCGGTCCTAACGTTTATCGTGCGGTTGTCCTCGGTGCGGTTATACTCGGTGCGGTTATCGTCAGCCCCTCTGATAGGCTTATCACGCCCCTCTGCCCGCCCCATGGTGGGCGAGTCGACTTTCGCGTGGCCGTCCGGATGCTCGTTCCCATCCCCGTTGTTGTTGGTAGCTCCGGGCTCGCGCCGCAGACCGGCGTTGGCAATATGCATCGCGCCGCCGCCGCTCGGAGCTCTCCGCCGTGAAGCGCGGCGAGGAAGACGAAGCGGCCGAGTTCCCTTCGGAAGGCCCGGCGCCGACGTGCCGCGAATCCCGTGATTCGCGGAAGAAACGGCCGCCGGATAGAATCCGCGAGTCGCGGAACGGCCCTCAATGTACTGGAAACGCTCGAGGGAGAAGGCGCGGTTCGCAACGGATACGATCCCGAAAGGGGAAGACAGGGCGATGTTGAGGCTCATGACTGGACCGAGATACGCCGAGCTTGGGAATGGAAATAGGTCTCTCGTGGTAGGAGGCAGAAACTATAATTCGTCGATGAAATCCCATCCCGTTCACGTGGCTCGCGACGACGGAAGTCGGCAGTCTCGCGAGGCGCATACCCGCGCGGCTCGTATGCAAAAGGTCGTGCGGGCTGGGGGAGACTGTCGCGACGCGCGACATCGCATGTGCGTGAGAGACGTGGTCGGAGTATCCTAAGGGCGTGTCATGCTTGGTGAACTTTCAGTTCATTTACAGCGGTTGACTACGAGTTTGTGCGTTGTAGGGCGGTAAGTTTCTCCCACCGCTTTGAACCGCCACATACCAGTCTGAACATTGATTCATGTGCTGTAAACTTACAATGCATGACACGCCCTAAGGACGGAGAGAACGAGAAAGAAGAGCGAGATCTCGACAGCCCTTCCAACACTGGCGAGAGCAATGGGAACTCCGAAAGTACGTACGCGATAAGAGAATCTTCACGGTGAGGAATGAAAGAGAGCACACAGAGAGCACACGTTATAAAACTGTACTTCGAAATTTCCGCAAGCCATATGGAATCTCGAGGGAGCTTTCACCATCACACCCGTTCAAGGATTGCAATTTGCAAGTTACGCAGCCTACCCCACTGCCTCCCCCCCCAGCCAAACCCCTCCCGTGTTGCAAATTGGGGGGGAATTGAAATTGGCGAGGGTGTAGGCAGATCAGTTCGCAGCATTCCAAACAACTGACCTGCCACAAGTCCTACGAGTCGCACACCAGCCTGCATCATGCGTACCACGCGTAAACCCCGTTCTTCAGGGCCTGTGGGGCCACTCTCTGCCAATGTCGCAGCAGCTCGAATTGTCCTTCTCGCGGCTCTCGCGCTCGCAGCCGCCGGATACTCCGTTCCCAGCGCCGCCAACCGCGCACTGCCGCCGCGCCAACTTGGAGGTGCCTGGCGTCTAACCAAACAACACCCGTCTCGCCTGCCTCGACTCCGAGTCAATCGCGCCGGACGCTCGTTAAAGCTCGCCGGCGCCAGCGCGCCTAGTATGGTCGGGTCCAAGAGTGCCATGGCGAGGCCTGTTGTTCTCGAAGACTCGCAATGTGAGTCGGCTGCCTCCCAGCGAGCTTGCTTCGCGGCCCGCGTCTTCCCATCATCCCGCACTGCCGCAGTTTAGACCACCCACGCTCTCCCTTCACGGCACGTCATTCAAGCAGGGACCTTGCGCGCCGCCACGTGCACGCCAAGGCCCTTCTCGCCCAGCTTCATTGAGAACAAACGTAGCACAGATAGTCCAAACAAATGGGTTTCGTGGCTTCAGTCATGGCTTCAGTCTTGGCTTCATGGCTTCAGTCTTGGCTTCTTGGCTTCAGTCATGGCTTCAGTCTTGGCTTCGTGGCTTCAGTCTTGGCTTCAGTCTTGGCTTCTTGGCTTCAGTCTTGGCTTCAGTCTTGGCTTCTTGACTTCAGTCATGGCTTCAGTCTTGGCTTCTTGGCTTCAGTCTTGGCTTCAGTCTTGGCTTCTTGGCTTCAGTCATGGCTTCAGTCTTGGCTTCTTGGCTTCAGTCTTGGCTTCTTGGCTTCAGTCTTGGCTTCAGTCATGGCTTCAGTCTTGGCTTCTTGGCTTCAGTCATGGCTTCAGTCTTGGCTTCGTGGCTTCAGTCTTGGCTTCAGTCTTGGCTTCTTGGCTTCAGTCTTGGCTTCTTGGCTTCAGTCATGGCTTCAGTCTTGGCTTCTTGGCTTCAGTCTTGGCTTCAGTCTTGGCTTCTTGGCTTCAGTCATGGCTTCAGTCTTGAATTCTTGGCTTCAGTCTTGGCTTCAGTCATGGCTTCAGTCTTGGCTTCTTGGCTTCAGTCATGGCTTCAGTCTTGGCTTCGTGGCTTCAGTCTTGGCTTCTTGGCTTCAGTCTTGGCTTCAGTCTTGGCGTCTTGGCTTCAGTCTTGGCTTCAGTCTTGGCTTCTTGGCTTCAGTCATGGCTTCAGTCTTGGCTTCTTGGCTTCAGTCATGGCTTCAGTCTTGGCTTCTTGGCTTCAGTCTTGGCTTCTTGGCTTCAGTCTTGGCTTCTTGGCTTCAGTCATGGCTTCAGTCTTGGCTTCTTGGCTTCAGTCATGGCTTCAGTCTTGGCTTCTTGGCTTCAGTCATGGCTTCAGTCTTGGCTTCTTGGCTTCAGTCTTGGCTTCTTGGCTTCAGTCTTGGCTTCAGTCATGGCTTCAGTCTTGGCTTCTTGGCTTCAGTCATGGCTTCAGTCTTGGCTTCGTGGCTTCAGTCTTGGCTTCTTGGCTTCAGTCTTGGCTTCAGTCTTGGCTTCTTGGCTTCAGTCTTGGCTTCAGTCTTGGCTTCTTGGCTTCAGTCATGGCTTCAGTCTTGGCTTCTTGGCTTCAGTCTTGGCTTCAGTCTTGGCTTCATGGCTTCAGTCATGGCTTCAGTCTTGGCTTCTTGGCTTCAGTCTTGGCTTCTTGGCTTCAGTCTTGGCTTCAGTCTTGGCTTCATGGCTTCATGATGCCCTATTCCCGGGCGCTGGCCTGTTCACCCGAATCTGCTTCATTTACCCCGTGTGCCGAATCCCGCAGTGAAGGCGCTGGTGCAGCTGCAGGAGGCGTGGGGCGCGTGGGCGGGCAACAGCAACGCCACCACGGCGTGCTCTGCATGGGCTGGCGTCACGTGCAGCCCTCAAGGCCTCGTCGCTGCCCTGTCAGTCTCCCCGCCGCTCATTTCACCTCCGCGCCCTCTCTGCCCGTTGGTGCCCCTCACTGTCCACTGCACTGCACCTCACCGCCCTTCACTGTCGGTCCGTGCGCTCATTGCCCGCGGCGCGGCTCATCACTGTGCCATCATGCAGAGGCACTCATCACTGTGCCATCATGCAGAGGCACTCATCACTGTGCCATCATGCAGAGGCACTCATGGTTGCGCTGCCCGTACTGCTTCTGAATGGGCTGCTTGCGTGTGCTGGCAGGGATGCTAAGCTGATTCCCGAATCGGATCCTCCACCGAGTGGCACCATACCCGCCGCCATCACCACCCTCGCCAATCTGCAATACCTGTCCGTCCCCACGCACGCTCTCCCTCCACCACCCACACTCTCCCTCCACCACCCACACTCTCCCTCCACCACCCACACTCTCCCTCCACCACCCACCTCTCCCTCCACCACATCCATCGAGTCCTTCCTTCGTTTGCCAAGCACAACGTGTGCGTGCTTGCTCCTGTTCTTTCACGTGCTCTCATGCTTCACGCCTGTCCCACCGGCGCCATGCTGCGCCCTTCCATCTCATTCCTCTCCTTCCATCTCATTCCTCTCCTTCCATCTCATTCCTCTCCTTCCATCTCATTCCTCTCCTTCCATCTCATTCCTCTCCTTCCACACGTCAGAACCCATCCCCTCCCCCTGCCCTTCCATGCCTCGCTTCTCGAATGGTTTCATTTCACCAGAACTAAGACCTTATCTTGGCCATAAATCTCAAGAGGTCCATTCTTCCATGCCATTGCCTTTCCCACTGTTGCTTCCTTCCCGCCCTCGTATGCCCACAGCGATCTGTCTTACCTTGATCTGGTGGGGTCCATTCCATCTCTCGCCCCTCTCACTGCCCTCACCCACCTGTATGCGCCCCTCTCACCACCCTCACCCACCTGTATGCGCCCCTCTCACCGCCCTCACCCACCTGTACGTGCTGTTCTCCCGTGCTTTCAGATCTCAGCTGCTTATCTGTTGGACAACGCCCCCATGCACCATGCCCATGCACCATGCCCATCCACCATGCCCATCCACCATGCCCATCCACCATGCCCATCCACCATGCCCATCCACCATGCCCATGCACCATGCCCATGCACCATGCCCATGCACCATGCCCATGCACCATGCCCATGCACCATGCCCATGCACCATGCCCATGCACCATGCCCATGCACCATGCCCATGCACCATGCCCATGCACCATGCCCATGCACCATGCCCATGCACCATGCCCATGCACCATGCCCATGCACCATGCCCATGCACCATGCCCATCCACCATGCCCATCCACCATGCCCATCCACCATGCCCATGCACCATGCCCATCCACCATGCCCATCCACCATGCCCATCCACCATGCCCATGCACCATGCCCATCCACCATGCCCATCCACCATGCCCATCCACCATGCCCATGCACCATGCCCATTTCACCACCCTCATTTGCACACATCCTGCTTTTCGAAGCTTGATCCTCGTTCCCATCCCATCCACGCTCCAAAACCTGAACTCATTCTAACTTTCCGAGTCCAATTCCTTGCACTACCAATCATTACCATCCGTCCCTACATGTACTTTGCCGCTGTGTCATGATAATTCAGGGTTAATCATTCCTCCTGCCCCTGCATCCGGCACCTCTTGATAGAATTGGAGCTCAACTTGATAGATTAGTAGAGAAGGCACTAGGCCTTAAGTACAAACAAGGTTGGGTTGAGCAAAGCTAGGGAAAAGATGGGATGGGAATCCTAGCAAATCTCAACCAGATAGGGTTGGGATCACAAACTACACCCAACCCGCAAATAACCTACGGGATATAGAATATAGTACACAAAGTGTTGACATCCTATTTCTAACACCTCTGTCATGTGTCCTCTCCTCCTCCCCACCCCATCCCCATTGCCCAATGAATGCGCGGCATGCTCCCTTCCCTGCATGCCACGCGTGACCACAGGGCCATTGGAACGGACGGCAGCAGGCTGAATGGCACATTGGTCGGACTGGATTGGCTTTCCTCCCTCACCGCCCTGCACAAGCTGTATGCCCGCCCTGCCACCCATGCCCGCCCTGCCACCCATGCCCGCCCTGCCACCCATGCCCGCCCTGCCACCCATGCTCACCCTGCCACCCATGCTCGCCCTGCCACCCATGCTCACCCTGCCACGCATGCTCGTCCAGGAAGACATGTCATTGCGCATGCTGTTGGCTTTCCACTGATTCCTTCCTTTCGCCATGGTGCACGCCACAATGTGCCCGCAACTCATGCACACTGCGCCAACTCATGCACACTGCACCAACTCATGCTCATGCCCATGCATGCATGCCACACTGCCCTCCTGCCACCAGGAGTCTGATTGGCTTGGCGGAATTCACAGGGGACTTGTCCTCCCTGCACATTCTTTCTCACTTGCAAAGCCTTCAAGTTCTGTAAGCATCAGTGCAGTATAGTGCAGTGCAGTGCACAAAGATATTGCGGTCGCGTTATGCTATGCTGCTATTCTCTATCTCATGTGAAATCATCCTTCAGTTGTGTTGTGCCATGTAGTATGGTTGCTAAACCAGGCTTCAATTCGCGTCAGTGGTGCATTCAGTCTTGCTGATTGCCTGTGCATGCTGTGCATGCTAGGCATGAACGCAGGAAACTCATTTCATTCACCAACGCCACAGGGGAGATACCCGAAGAGATCAGATACTTGACTGCCCTCACTGCACTGTAAGCTATGCACAAGTGCCAAGCATGGGATGCGGAGATAACTACTACAACGGGAGCTAGACTACGGGCTAGGCACGGGTGCTTGTGCGATCTCTGCGTTCGTTGGTCCTTAGTCATTTTCCTAGTGCACACAATGCTTGCTAGTTCACGGGGTAGTTTTGGCAAAAGTTTCACTAGAGAAAGTTGACAACAATTGTACAATCAAGTTGGCAAGACAAGACTACATCAGAGCTAGCATTCAGGTCGGTCGACTGCCAGCACAGCATGGTCGACCGCGTTCCAGCACGACTTGGTCGACCGCGCTCCAGCAGTGCAAGGTCGACTGCGTGCCAACGCTGCAGGTCGACAGCGTGCCAGCGTTGCTCCCGCAATACAGCATCGCACCAGCTTCGCAGATGCTCGCAGATGATTGGCATGCTGTGCCTCATCACCTGCACAGCGTACACATCAAGTTGTCCTCATGCTGACGACTACACCTGATCCGCCACGTCGACCTCGGGATACCACCACCGAGGTCGGTCTCGCCAACATCGCCTGGGTGACCGTCGCACTCCTCCGCAGAACCTCGTCACCCTAGTAACCTCGTCGACCGGGCAACCAAGTCGACCAGCTGCTCCTGTATGTGCCCGTCAACCTCCCAAGTCGACGACTACCTCGAGTCGACCTCACCAGGTCGACCACGCCCTTGGTCGACCAGCTCTAGGTCGACGTCACTCCTGGTTGGCCAGCTCTATGTCTACCAGCACAATTGTCAGCCGACCACCCAAGTCGGCTACCCGAAGTCGACGTCACCAAGTCAACACCCTTCTACGTCGACGCCGACTTCCAGGCCGACCTCTTGAAGTCGGCAACCTCGCAAGTCGGCGACCTTTCAGGTCGACGCGCCACATCGCCGACCACCAGTTGAAGTCGGCCGCCGGCTTCCCAAGTCGGCGGCATTGCAGTGGCCCCGTGCAAGTCGACCAACCCCGTGGACCAGCTCGCCCAAGTCAGCGTCGCCCACTGCTGCAAGTCGGCTGCACCTCTCGTACACCCAACCACGAAGTCGGCTCCGCCCAAGCGAGGACGGGGCCAACAACAACTCCCGTTGACATGCGACACATGAAGCAACCTTGTTCATGTGCAATGTGGCACTTCTCCTAGCCGCTTGCCCAACATGACAGCAGCTCTCTGCTGTTCGCCTATGCTGCATATGATGCGTCAAGCGTCTGGACGCCAGATGCTCGGGTGCGACTGAGGTGGACGCTCACTTGAACCTTGTCCGGGCAGGGCAAAAAATTCCCGGGCAGGGCAAAAATTGATCCCGGGCAGGGGGGAAAAACCCGCGGTAGTAAGGCACAGCAGGGGTTAAGATGCACCACTGACACATATGCCGAAATTTCCAGAAATTTCACAATATTCCCCAAACTCGCACACAAGTAAATTAACAACCACAGAGTTGCGCGGTGGCCCCACACCACCTGCAGAAGGTGAGGAGCCACTACCTGCTGTGGATCCGTGGGACTAGTGGCCGACATTCTAACCTAATCGCCTTATCTTTTACTGAACTAAGAAGACTAACAAGCGGCTGGCGGATTCTAGGGTTTAGAAGGCTAGAGAATGATGCGAGAGAAGTGAGTAATGTCGCCCCCAATCTGCTTTGTAGTTTAGATTGGGGTCGTCCAGGTTGGGATATCTAGTTATTGAGGGATGAGAATGTGTTGGGGGGAATGAACAAAAATGCAACCCACATTTGGCAATTTCATCGCGATTCTGGCTGCGATGAAATCACACGTCAAATCGATTTGACGGTCTGCCCCAATATTTGTTACCCAAACAGCCAGCGTCAAATCGATGCCCCAATATTTGACGGTCTAGCTTGGGAGTGTCAGATGTAACATAGCTTTTCGCCTGCATGTGTGCTGTCCTCTTGCCTCCCCCCCTCCAGAGACCTGTCCTACCTTCGTGCCCTGGAGTTTCCTGATTGGTTGGCTCACCTCTCCAGCCTTCAGCACCTGTGAGCTTGTCTTGTCCCACCTTACTCTCGTTCATTGCCGTTGCCGCACAATAGTCCGTTGCAACACATCACACCCCCCGTGAGGCACAAGGTAACTGCACCGCACGTACCATTGCCATGGTTGGTTCTTGTCGCAGCAAAGAGACTCTCAAGGACTCTTGTGTACCATTGCCGGTCTCAAGAACTCTCCCTCCCTTCCCTTGTGCCTTGTGTGCATGGACTCACACCGGCCTCTTCCCCTTGTGTGCAACACGGTGAATAATGACGATCCACGCCGCCACGGACTGCTCAACGGCAACATGTCTGGGCTCACAGCACTCACCACCTTGTGAGCTCAGCGCGCTTGTTGAGAGTGCACCGAGCATGCAGGCTCTTGGAGGTAACTCAAAGCATGTATGCTCGTCATGCTGTATACGTTACTCTAGTGTAGACATGACCAACAGGTCAGGTCAGGTCAGGTCAGGTCAGGTCGGGTCGGGTCGGGTCAGTCCAGGTCAGGTCAGGTCGGTTCAGGTCAGTTCAGGTCAGGGCAGGTCAGGTCAGGTCAGGTCAGGTCAGGTCAGGTCGGGTCGGGTCGGGTCGGGTCGGGTCGGGTCGGGTCGGGTCGGGTCGGGTCGGGTCGGGTCGGGTCGGGTCGGGTCGGGTCGGGTCCGTTCAGGTCGGGTCGGGTCAGGACAGGACAGGACAGGTCAGGTCAGGTCAGGTCAGGTCAGGTCAGGTCAGGTCAGGTCAGGTCAGGTCAGGTCAGGTCAGGTGAGGTGAGGTGAGGTGAGGTGAGGTGAGGTGAGGTGAGGTGAGGTGAGGTGAGGTGACCGACTCGGGGTTTTGGCTGCTCCTCTAGCGGCCGCTCTAGTGGACCCGACCTGACCAGGCCAATCGAGTTGACTTTTGAGTCGACTTAAAAGTCAAGTCAACTCTTTTTTTTTTTCGTGACGATCTGACTTTTTGTTTTCACCCGTTTTGTCACAATAAGCCCTCCCTCCCACACCATCTCAGTGTTATCCTTGCTGCATTGCTGTCTCCCGCTAGGGCAAGGAAAACAATCACAACTCCTGCACAAGTTCCTCTTTTGACCTCCACCAGTCAGAAGCTCAGGTGTTCATGTGTTGCATGCTCCCATGCTCCCATGCGGTGCAGATCCCTCATTGGAAACAA